TGGGAAAGGCAGTATGCTTCAGTACCTTAGGGCCATGCCTTTTCCTAGCGAAGCATCATCTTTCCTTTGCTGACAGACAGGCCCTGCCATGCTCTCATGACGGTACCCAGGCTGTGAGAAGGAGCAAATTTTTGCAGCTAAGAGCAATCATTAAGAGCTCAGAAAACTCCATCTGCAGTCAGCTCCCACTTCCCATGAGGATGGTTCATCCTATTCTCTGCAGGGCTGGGGGATTATCAGCTTGAAAGTACAGCAGTGCCCAACTATAAATGCCATCTTCATGGTGCCAGAAAAAGTGAGACCTCAGAAAAAGTGAGATCCTCTAGTTGGGAAGGGATTCCCAGAGGTCTTTAGAGCAACCAGGACTAATATCAGAGTTATCTATCCCTCTCTTCCAGCTTAGCCTGTGGGAATAAATCACACAAGATAACAGGGAGCTATGGCATGTTCTTTTCTCTTTTGTTAACACATTGCTTTTTATATCCTGTAGAAGAAGCATCTGATGGCTTTTAATGCTGAACATTGAGGATTCCACAGAAGTCTGGACTTGAGAAGCTGCTGAGATTGTTTTCTTTTTTTTTTTTTACTGAATGTATGCTTTTACTACCTGAAATGTTTGGACATGATTCCTGCCATTTGCTCAATTCAGTTTGCACGAAGCCTTTTCAGTGAGATGGAGCCCAGCGATAAAAGAACTTCATGAAAAGATGTCCCAGGTCTGTGCAGAGCACTCAGTATCACAGAGCAAAGTGAGTTATCTGGAGGCTGACTCCCAGTCAAACCAACTGAGGCAGTTTTCCATACACTGTGCGTCCGTAAGCTTTGCTGTTTCAAAACATGGTTTGGACCCTCCTTTCAAAGTTTCCAACCTGCACAGAAAGAGAGTGGGGTCTTGGAATGACAGCTTATTCCTGATGACTGATTTTTTCTGCTTAAAAAAAAATACATACGTCAGTTTCCAGAGAAAATCTACAGATTTCACGGTGCCTTTGAGTGAAGCAGCAACAGCTGTCATGCACCCCAAACAGACATGTTTAAAATGCCCTGTTTCAGGTTTTGCTAGAATATGGAATGAAGAAAACGTCCACATGGAAGAAAGCTCTTCTGTCATCATACTTTGCCCCTAATCCAGAATGCCTGAGGCATCATCCAGTGTGATGGAAAACTGTGACAAGTTATCCCTGCAGCCTGGCTCTTCCCCCTGGGCTGTGGAGGTGATGGGATGTGTCCTGGAAAAGATAAGAACAGTCTTAAAGCACAAGAAAGCAAGAGCTAATCTAGTCTTACTCCAAGTCTGTCCCCTCAGGTTCTTTTCTTGAAAGGGATCAAACCCGCTTTTTCCTTCCTCTGTAGTTTGCTGTGTTACTGCTATCAGTCAATAAATTGCAATTTTGAGCTGAGGTCAAAGCATTCCTTGCACTTTGTGAAAGGTGCAGTAGCCACAGGTGAGTGGAGGTTGGTGATGGATTTTGTATGGGGATATTGGACAAAGTAGAATCAAGAACGTGTGTGTTTGCAATGAAAGAAGCTGTGGGATGGGAAGAGTCCCCGTGAGATCCTCGGAGAAAAAGAACAGGCATAGATACTGACTTCTGTCAGCACTTGGCCCGGGGGGCGGGGTGGTGCTGGGGCTGCGTAATGCCCTGGGCGTGTAGGCTGATAAACCTAAGCCTGGACACGTTCTGAAGGCAGAAAGCATGCAAGCTTGCCCTAGGAGTGGGTTGAAGCCCACCTATTCCTGGGTAAGTTCCTGGTGCTGAGAGCATCAAGGGAGCCAATAGATGAGATGGGTGTGAGATGCCTGACTACACGGGGATGTGTGTCTCAGTCCCTCTGGCTTTAGTTTTCTAGTATTAGTTGTCTAACTCCATGGCTGCATCTCCAGTGTCTCTTCAGCCCCTTGGTGGCAGAGGAGGTCTCATTCCTTTTGACTTCAGCAATTACCTTAAAGAGGAGGAAATAATAGGATCAAAACTACTCATGATCTTTCTGTGTGCGCTCAGCACAAATGACCTGCTTTTTTTTTCCAATTTTAGCGGAGCACAAGGCTGAAATTTGGAAAATTTAATCAAGCTTATCAACTTGATCAAATTTCCTAATAATCTCATGGAAATGCATGTACGGCAGGATGGGGACTGTTGCAATAGGACTGCCGGAGCATGCCTGCCCTGGCCGGTGGAGCCACTGAGGTGGGGAATGCAGCCTGCGGGAGCCAGGACGGGATTGTTTGCCTTGCTCAGCCTCTGCTGCTGACTTCAGAAACGCAGCTCTCCCTCCCTCCCAGCTCTGCTGGGGCCTCTCTCATTCACCTTCTTTCCCAACTGCAGCCTCCCAGCCAGTTTCACCTCTGGGGATGGATGTCCATCCTGCTCAGGACCTTCTCCCCGCGATGACTGCACCTCACTTGAGTGGAGATCTACCAGAGTCGTCCGTGGGCTGGAGCACGTGATGTACAAAGAAAGGCTGAGGGAGCTGGGTTTACTCAGTCTGGAGAAGGGGAGAGGGGGGTGATTAGGAAGTCTTGGACGGGTAGTAGGAACTGCGTGCACTAGGCGAGTTCCCTTTAGTTCTCTCCACCTTTTGAAGACTGGGTGGCTGATGTGGTCCTTGGCACCGAGCAGTCCCAACGTTTTGTCCTTTGATAGCTTGTTCCGGTTTGTTCCACTGGAGCTATTTGTGCCAGCAGTTTCCAGTGGGAATTGCTCCCATTTCAGAATCCAGTCCTCTTATTTCATCCTGAAATCATTGCTTTCACATGTAATCATCATAGGATCATGGAATGGTTTGGGTTGGAAGGGACGTTAAAGATCATCCAGCCCCCCCCCTGGCCACAGGCGGGGTCACCTTCCACTAGACCAGGTTGCTCCAAGCCTCATCCAGCCTGGCCTTGGACACTTCCAGGGATGGGGCATCCACAGCTTCTCTGGGCAACCTGTCCCAGTGCCTCCCCACCCTCTCTGGGAAGAATTCTTCCTGATATTCAATCTAAACCTCCCCACTTTCAATTTAAACCTGTTACCCCTTGTCTTGTCACTCCCTGCCCTTGCAAAAAGTCGCCCTCAGCTTTCTTGTAGCCCTCCCAGGTACTGGAAGGGGCTATAAGGTCTCCCCGGAGCCTTCTCTTCTCCAGGCTGAACACCCCAAACTTTCCCAGACAGACAAGAGTGTTTTCTCCTGAGCCTTCATTTTCTTTCTGTGAATGAGACAATTTTCTCAGTCCTTTCCCATTAGATTAGATCACTTTGCCTGCATCCACCTCTCTCTTCTGGCTTAGCAGTGTTGGTGAGTAGGAGAGTCATTGAAGCTGCATGATGAAAGCCCACGATGTGAGCAAGACCCTCCTCTCCCTACCTAAGACTCGCTTAAATTGGATCAGGCTCTGAAAAGGGTGCAAAGACCCAAGGGCAAAAGGGAGTCAACTGGGCATGGATACGTTAAGTCTGGAAACTGGGAGCTTCATTAGAGCTGTAGATTCTGAAAACACCTTGCAGCTTAGGCAAGACCTGACTGCTTTTGAAATGGAAGCATAATGGATGTAGGTGCTAGGGATCCATGCAGATATTAAGAAGGTTAATAGGCATTAGGAAAGTAACTTTGCTGGATCAGACCTTGGATAAGCACAGAGCAGCCATGGCTAGTCTCTGTGAAGCAGCTCCAGAAGGGAACTAGTCTCTGCAGAGCCAGTGCAGAGGGGTCACAGTGCCTGGGTCCAATGTGGGCACATGAGGTGCTTGTCTTTTCCACGTGCTGCTGCAAGGACAGAGGCTGTGGCTGAAGTTCTTTGCTTTGGCTGCCTCTCCTGTGGTTGCAGGGAAGCCTTGGGAGAGCTGAGCAGCAAAGCCAGCAGTTCCTTCTCTCCAGTTTTCCCATGAAAGACAGATGTTTCTCTGGTTAAGCCAAAGCGAGTGCGGCCAATGCCTTTCTTTATTATCACGCCTTACCCCAGTTCCTTCATGAAATATTGCTGACCCTTGTCAGTTTGAATGTTCTTGGAGGGTTGATCATGTTCTTTCAGTGGCAGGTGACAGTCATGGTGGTTTTATGGGTCCTTGGACCTCCCCATTCCTGTTTGAGACCCTGCAGCTTTCAGCCCTGGCTGGAATTTAATATTGTTATTAAATTGATGGTATTCTCAGTGAGAGCTGCTTGAGCAAGGCCAGTCACGCAGATGATGAAACATGAAACTTTTGGTTTTTCAGCCTAGTCATTGTACTTGTTGCAAAGATCCTTTTCAGGCAGTGGTGTTAGGAGATGAAATGCAGCTGGAGCGCTCCCAGGTGATCCTTGTGTTTTCCTGGCTTCTTACGTATGCAGAAGCTGTCTACACTTGTGCCTGCCTCTGGCTGTGAAAACATCAGGAGTAGCTGCTCTTGCTTTCGTTATCTTTTTGTTTAGACATACGGCACTTTTTCCACTTTTCCTACTCGAGGAATGTCCAGTTGCTCAATTTGGTCCCTCTGATGCCTAGATGCATGAGGCTGGCTGCTAGGATCATTGGTTTTCTCTTTTTCTGCTCCATAATACTAATTTCTGATTTCCTGGACATCTTGCAGCCAGATTACTTGGTGAAGTTCAGTGTCTGCACGGAGAGTGAGACAGACCGGTGTCTCTGCTGTCTGACACGTCCTGCTCCCTCCCTTTAAGGCTTTTCTCGGAAGGTCTCAGGGATGCTACGCACTGTCTCCCCAAGCAGTCATTGCTCTACCAGCCCCGAGCTACACACCCCCTGCACACAGGCAGCCTTGCTATTGCGTGTTTGCCCCTGCTTGCCAGCCAGCTCCTACACACACTGCTGCCGGAGATCCCTTGCTAAACCGGCTTTCCATGGTAGTTTCTCTCCAAGGAGTGAACACAGCCTTTCTGAAGCAGCGCTCCTCAATATTCCACCTTTGTGCCACCCACGTGTAAGCTGATCAAGGGAGTCTAAACTCTGATCCACAACATCGAGTGCTCGTGACTGCTCTGTGCACCACTCCGCTGCTTAACTCTGGGCTGGAAGGATGGAGTTTTTACTCCTTTACTACCCATTTACTTTTCTGTTCCTCGCATTTCTAGTCCTTTACCAGGTGAATCCTGCATTCAGATTCTACTGCAAGAAGAACTTCTATAAGTTGTGGATCACCACCGTAAGCATTCCGGTTATTATGATCAGTATTCCTCGTGGACGTAACTTGGAAAACATCCGGTAAGTTGTCTGTGGCTTCTTTCCGCTCTGGGCATGGATACAGTCAACCTTCCCTCTGCTTTGGAGGGTCCTGGGAGTTGCACTGCAACAGGGAGGAATTGGTTGTGTATTGGTGTGGAGAGCTGCCAGGATTCAGTGCCAAGGGATGTGGGTTTCAGTATTGTATTTGAGTTGAGAGGAAGAAAAAGGAATGGTGGAAGGAAAGGATGTAAAAAGTGACATAAATTTGGCAAACTAGGTAATGCCAACAAACTGGATGTAATGCACAGGTAAAGTAACACTGGTTTTTAGTAAAATTCTCGTATCTGATCCTCAGAGATGGATTCCTTCCTCCACGTCATTCCCTTTCTAAGTTGTGTTAAGAAAGCTCTGCAGGGGCTCTTCTCCTTCTCGACTCTGTTCTCAGCCAGTGCCCACCTGAGCAGGCATGAGCAGACATTACCAGGGTGCAGTGCTGGAGCCTGTGTTGTCACTGATGTCCCCATCCCTGCAATTCCAGCCGGGTGCCCCCAGGTCTCTGAACCCATCCCCTTAGTGCCCATCCCCTCTCTCCATCTGTTACTGCCTCTGCAAGGAACTGCCAGACCGACCTGGAGCTGGGGGTACAGCTGGGATTAGCAGCGGTGGACATTAGTAACCTGGGGTGTGGGTTGAGGGGGGGCTAGAAGCTGACTGCTATAGAGCAGCACAGTGCTTGTAGCCTCCCTCGGGAAGTGGCGCAGAGGCAGGGTTTACTTCACTGTTGTATGCTGCACTGGGAGTACATATCACTTAATTGAGCCTTTCACTTTTTAAGAAATTTTCTTCAGTTCTTGATTTTGGTGCCTGACTATTCTTTTCTTTATTTTTCCAGTATCTGTTAAAATATGGCTACCAGAATTTCAGGCTAATGTCACCCAGAGGCAAAATCATAACTCTTTCCAGAGCGTGGGCAATAGCAGCATTAGGTGCGTGGCATGTTTATGGCAGCCTGCGTTCACGATTCAGCAAGGTGGGCAGGGTCGCAGAGTACAAACAGGTGCACTGTGAATTTGGGCATTATCTAATATTTGGCTGATCCACAGAATTGCTGTAGCTGAAGTTGCGAGACCTCGCTTGAAGAAAACCTATCATCAGGTGTATTTGTCTTCTCTAATGAAGTGATGAGCTGAGGAGGTGTGCTAGCTGCTTTTCTCCAAGCCACGGGTCAAATCTAGGGGTGTGGATAAACAGGCTCCTCTGCAGGAGCAGGCTGTGAGATGGGCTGGCTTGGAAGAATGGTGTTTGGTTCCTTTACCCCATTTCAGCGTCCATTTGGCTTATGTCTGCTCCCTTTTTCCAGGTTTTTGCGCATGTCATTCATGCCACTCAAATACATCTTTGGGATCAAGGTAGTGGTGAAGGGCAAGGAGAACCTCAGGACTAAGAAACCTTTCGTCGTCGTGCTAAATCACCAGACCTCCCTTGACATTATGAGTATGTGGTGATCCTGGCTCCTGTTCTTGGCCCCAGCTGTCTGTATGGGAGGGTGGTAAGAAATCCCAAGTACCACAGGCAGAGGGGCAGGAGTGGCTGCTAAGTAGTCCATTACCAGCTAGCCCCAGCCCCAGGCTGTTCTTCAGGGTATCAGAGCCCAAGGGGTATTTTTGCGTCAGCTTCATCCTTTCCGAGAGAACAGGGATGAGAGTAGCAGTTGACCACATCCGTGTCATAGCAGCTCTCCTGCAGTGTCAGCAATAGTCCTCCTCTAAGTGGGTGGTTGGTCCAGAGTCCCCCAGAATCCCTTTGCCAACCTGTTTCTGATCCTACGAAAACTGGGTAATTTCTCAGGCACGGCATTTCCCAGAGCAGAAGGGCTGTACCCCAGAATCTGGAGGAAATCTCAGTGCAGATGACAACATGTTCTATCCTTGTTCTTCCCTCCCAGTGATGATGGACATATTACCAAGCCGCTGTGTGCCCATTGCCAAGAAGGAAATCCTATACATGGGCACTTTTGGCCTGGCATGCTGGCTTTCGGGACTCATTTTCATTGACCGCAAGAAGAAGGAAGAGTCTGTCTCTGCCTTGACAGAAGTGGCACGCTCCTTGCACAAAGAAAATGTGAGTGGGGAGAACTCTTTGGTGAGGAGCCCCTGGAAAACATGAACCTTGATGTGGCTGGAAAGGGATTTTTGTCTCTGGGCTGGGCACTGAGCAGGACAGAGAAAGAGCATCTCTGGTGGGGTCAGTGTGTGGTGTGTCCATAAAGTGCTTGAAGTGGAGGAAGGGGATGTCTCGGTGTGGTCAGGAGCAGACAGATCAGTCCCAGGGGAGTATGCCTGTGCAGTGGCTTAACCGGAGCTCCCTCATCCATCTCAATGTCTTCTCCCTCCTGCAGTACCGTGTCTTGGTCTTCCCTGAAGGAACTCGCAATCATGGAGGCTCCATGCTGCCCTTCAAACGTGGGGCTTTCCACCTGGCTGTGAAGGCCCAGGTGAGTGCCTCCTTCCTCCTGCCTCTTGGGGTGTGGTTAGCCTGCCATGCTCTACCAGCACCAAAGCCTATATGGGCCCTGGTCCCTGGCTCCGTTTGGATGGAGCATGTATCCAGGAGCCCAGCAGGTAGCATAGGAGGGGACTGTTTCTGGGACAGGTGGAAAACCTTCATGACTCAGCTTGGGTAAAGAAGTGGGGGGACCTTGACAAGACCCCTGGATCTCCTTGGGGTGGGTTGGGGGGTGGTGGTGGGAAATTTCTGCTGAGCTGAACATACTGATTTGGCAACCCACACTTTTTTTGCCTAAATACAGAGATGAAAATGCAAAAAACAACAGTAAGAACATTGGGGGTTACAGTTAAATGATCTAAATATCCCTCTGAGTATCTACGATTAAGCTGACCAGAGTAGTTACCAGCAAGGTGCAGGAACACCAGTTCCCTTTTTGGGGAAGGAATGGGGAAATCTGTGGATTTACAATAGACTGCCTCCCCTCCAGGTCCCCATTATTCCTGTAGTGATCTCTTCCTACTGCGACTTCTACAACCGGAAGGAGAAGAGGTTTACAACAGGTGAGGATGACGTGGGGCACAGAGCAGGCTGGGTGTTGGTGTGAGCTCCATCCTTGGAGGAAGCCGTGAGGTGGGGGGGACAGAGGACCATGTGCCATGTGGAGACAGCCAGACCACAGCAGTTTCTGTCTTCTTGGGAGGGGAGGAAACGGGAGATTTCAGGCATCACTTTTGCCTGCCCCCTTGGATTTCTCACAGTCTGTCCAATATCCATATGAGGGAACCTGGAGAAGCAGCAGAGTCCTGGGGCAGGTCCTGCTGCTGGCCCCACCCGCTGTCTTTGGCTCTGCAGGTGCATGGAGGGTTGGGGAGCAAACATAAACAGAGAGAGCTCTGAAAAAGTCATGCTGAGAATGTGTCTCCTCCCAGTTACCCTGTTCTTTCCATGTTTCATCCATTTATGGTGACAAAAATTTCTGCTGGTCACTGATAAAAATTTCTGGGGAAAAAGTGATGGAAGTGTTGGGCTTCAGAAGGAAAGTGCAGAAAAATATCTTCCAAATTCCAACAGGGAAAAGTAACCCATCCTGTTCCTCCACTTCCTTCACTGACACCCACCTCAAAATGGGCTTCTGCCACTTCCCACCCTCCCCCAAGCCAGCCCAGCTCTTTCCTAAGGGGGAGATTTGCATCTGAAATTCTTATTCTGCCCATTGTGTGTACCTGGGTGTAGTCATTCATTTCCTTGCAGTCAGGCACCTGGGAGAGGGAGTCGGTGCAAATGTTAAACAGTGCATTGTTTATTTCTTCTCATCTTTCACCTGCTGGGTCTATCCTGTCTCTCTTGGTCACACACAAAAGTCTTTTGGTACTGGAAGCATTCCCTGAAATGGGGGTCATCCATCCCCATCTCATCCCTTCTCAGCTGGGCAAGGAAGATAGATTTCCCAGAGGCGTGCTCTAACAGAGTGGGGAGGGATCTCAGGAGCAGATGAACCTTTTGCTTTAAGCAAGGTCAGCTCCAAATATGGATGAGTTTGCTCCTGCACCTTGTCCAGCCAAGTTTGGAGTAGCTCCATGGAAGGAAATTCCACAACCTCCCTGAGCATTTCAGTAAATGTTATTTGTAGTTGCATGTCCATTTGCCTTTATAATAACCTCACCCTGGGAGTTAGGGCTTAGCTGACCTCTAGGCCCTTTTCCTAATTTCCTAGTGTCCTGTTCTTCTGGGAAGCTCTTCCCTAGGCTTTCGTTTTACCTCCCTTACATGGCTTTGCTACCAAAATTTCCAGATTTCACTTCCTAGCACACATGTAAAGGATTCAAGAAAGTTAGAAACTAGCACAGACACTCCCCAAATTCTCAGGTGGGTATCTGCTCGTGTCGCCGCTGGCCAGAACGAGGGCCACTGACTCCAAGAGCAGAAGAGCATGATGACAGCCCCCCCAGTATATTTTTCCTGCATGCACCAGTCTGTTGCTTCGGCGCTTCCCAAGAGGAGTATGATACACCTTGGCCAATCGTGGCGTTCTGGGCACAGTTGCTCTCGTCCCAAGGTGTGTTTCTGGAAGGAAGGACTCAGCTGAATTCAGTATATGTGGATCAGAGCACAGCCAGTTTGGATGTGTTGTATTACAGACATCCCATTCTCTAGACAGAGGCTGAGGTCTTTCCACTGTGAAAGTTATTGCGCTTCTACACCACTCAAGTATTCCCTTCCCCCTCTCTGATGCTCCTGTCTCACTCTTCCAGGGAAAATCATCATCCAGATCCTGCCAGAAGTGGAGACCCTTGGCCTGGGCCCAGACGATGTTCCCGAACTCACCGAACAGGTCCATGACTCCATGTTCACCACCTATCAGGAGATATCAGGAATGCTGAATGGGGCTTCCCATTAGCGATCCCATCTTCCAGCTCCAGCTCTGTGTGTAGCAGCTGAGGGGCAGGGCATGGCAACCACAAGAAGGTCTGGCAACAGAGACAACCATAGATCACAACGCTAGCATACCAGAGACAGGGAAAATGTCCGCACAGGAAGAAAATCTTGGAAGCAGAGGGGGTGAAATGGTCACCACGTGGATAACACAGTAGGTAGCTGGACATTTCTTTGTAACCGTAACCCTGAGAACTTCTCTCCAGCTGGACACCAGGCAGAGCTGCACCATTCCTGTGAGCATCTTACAATCAACCTTTCCTATTCCCAACCAACAAGGTGGAGGCATTTATCCCCAAACCCGTGGCCTTCCTGCCTGGGAAAGTGCCTGTCCTGGGGTTGGAGGGCTGCCATGTGCCCCTGGAAGCACACTCAGGACAAGGCACTGTCTCCTGCCTCTTTCCGTGGGGTGGGCTTGGGAGGTGCCTCTGCCATGAGAGAACACAGCCAAAGCAGCTTTGGGAGAGGAGAATTAAAGACCTTACATGTGCCTCCAGGAGTTGGTGGTTTCTTTGGTTTTCTTAGCCTTCCTTTTAAGCAAAGCAAGATTCTGCTTCCAGTGGTTGGGCAGATCTTGAAAGCGTGAGGGGAACATGCCTGGAGACTCAGAAACTGGAGACAAACAGCAAAAACATGTTGCCTAACATCCTTGCTGTGCCCTGCTAATCTCATCATTTTTAACATCACCTATATATTTTTCAGTTCAGACACATTCTGGGAGCTGCAGCTCCAGATTTCTGATTGCTGTCTGGTTTTGCCCTGGCTTCTAGGTGTCAGAGAATGGAATCTTGCCTTCCTCTGCCCAGGGTCACCACAGCCTTTTCCCACTCCCCACGCACTGGGGGCTTACGGAACAGCGTGGTTCCCAAGCTCCATCACTCGTGCAGTGCCCTGGATGCCCTGTGGGTCTCCTCTGGGCTCCCTGGGTGGCGGGTGGGCAGCATGGGGCACTGGGCTGACATGGGCACGACTTGCCAGCACCCCCCCCTCTCCCCATGGCAAAGCACACATGCAGATGCTGTAGCCATGGGATTTTACCAAACATCTCCTTTATCAATCCTTATCAGAGGCACCTACTCCACCCAGAACCTTCACCCATCACTCTGCCTTAGGCTGCCACCTTCTCACTTCCAGGAATCCCCTCCTTCCCTCCTGGTTGTGCCAAGGAATGATGGAAACTTAATTTTTACATTTGGATTTATTGACTTAATATGGTCTTAATATGATCATCCCAGCCTAATGATTACTTTTTAGCCCTCATATTTGCAGTTTACATACCAGAATCAATGCCAAATGCAGGTGAATGCGTAAAGTGCGTTTTATGAATGCCCAGCACACCCAAACACCCACATCTTCGCTATGGGCTTTAAGCAAAAGGTGTCTTTAGGCTCCAATATGCAGCTGCCATTCTCCAGCGTCTTCAGAAGCTGAACTCTCACTGCTCATTAGAAACAGCCTGAACAGTTTATGTTCTTGTGCAAGACAAGGAGATAGATAGAAAAGTTCTGGTAAAGAGTACACAAACTTGCTAATTTCTGAGCAGGCAACAAAGGAATGTGATTTTGAAATGCAAGCACACCAGCTTCCAGATTTGACACCCATTCAGGATGGGAATTAAAAAGTGTCTTGATTGTGCCTTTAAAGAGCCATAAAGCATCCAGCACCTAACCAAGTCTTGCACAACTCTGAGCGCTTTTAGGGTAACAGACAATAAGATGTCATTACCCTTCCATCTGAATACTTCCATTACCGAAAGCCTTTAAAAATAAATGATATAAAAATCACAGTGGAGCAAATAAACCAGTATACACAGTCTCGAGCTCCTCTCTAGGAAATCATGTGCTGAGTGAGGTCCAGTTGACCGCAGTCAGCTGAGCATGATGTACAGGCAGCAGTTTCCCAAGAGCAGCTTAGTGCCTCTGTTGGGAGTTTCCAGCGCTGATCTGATGAGCGGGATTAGAAACTGTCAAGGAAGCAGAAAAAGCTATTGAGAGGCAGAAAGCCTTTCTGGGACAAAATTTTTCTCCCCACATTATTATTTGACTTTATAGCTTAAAAAAGTCACTAATGAATGGGTGGACTGAGTATTCACAGGGGCCAGGAATAGGCTGGATTTCCAGGGATTTCCCATCTGGTTGGAAGAGGAAGAGGCAGGCCTCTGAGGGATGATGAAGGTGATGGATTGCAAGGAGCCTAGGCTAACAGCATGTCTGCTTCCAGTGGTGTCTGAGTGGGTCTGAATGAATGGTCTAGGGCTTTTGGGGGCAGAGTCACTGTGATGACCTTAACTCATTTATTTCTTTAGGCACAAAAGAGTCTGACCTTGTAGGAGATTAATTATTTTTGACAGAACTGAAACTTACCTTTTGTGCCACTCTCAGGTCCGTATTTCCAGGGTGAGAGGTCAAGTGCACCAATCTCATGACAGTCAACAAAGTCCTTAGGATAACTGTTGACCTTGAAGACATCCCTGGGTATCTTTTTGATACGAGTGTTGTCACAGATCACTCTGGACAGCGAGACTTTTCTCAGTGCGCGCAACTGCTGCGGAGTGAAAACTCCGGGTCTCTCCCACCAGAATCTGCAAGGATATTTTCAGAAGCTGTTTATACTCTCCTTGAAAGTGTTGGGTGCTGGTTACTTGCCAAGATGGGAAACTAGACAAGGTGAGTCTCTGCTCAGGTCCACCTAGATTCATCAGGCAGCTTGCACACCCATTTGGAAAGAGGTGTCTCCAGGTCTGGATGCTGCCACTCAGCTGCCAGTGCAGAGAGCCTGCCTCGTCCCTGCAGAATCACTGGACTGCTGGCATGCAACGACTAATCCTCCCCTTTTGTACCCTCAGAGCAAATGTCACACCTCAGGCAGAGACCACTCAGCTCATCACCCACGGCCTGGTGCTCCTCAATGGCATGGGGCTGTAGGAATGGGTTGCAACAAGGAGCCCTTTCACAACGGGGCTAAAATCGAGGTTTGAGCCTTGCTGGGAGCACTCCCTGGCATGTTGGAGATGGGCTGGATTAGTGTGTCACATGAAATGTTGGCATTTTTTTCCCCCCTAATAAATGGGAAAGGTTTGCTCTCAGAGCTACCTACCTGTCCCCATCACGCAGGTTTCTGAACTGGGTGCCAATGATGCAGGCCAGGAGGGGTCCAACTCTGCCCCGAGGAACAAAGGGTTCTGCGACTGCCCCAATCCAGAGGTCAATATTGTCCGGTGTCCCATACAACTTGATGAACTTCTTGGCCAATTTGGAATTGCCTAGCACCTTGGATAATTCTTCCACATTTTGAGGCTGGGAGAGCCCACAAAAGCGCCTCCAGGCATTGTAACCTGCAAAAGCAGGAACAGGAGCTGGTCAGGATCATGTTTCCCCAGCATCACGTGAAAGCTGAATTCGCTCGCTTTCATCTGTGTCTTCCGTACCCCACATGCTCTCTCTTTGCAATACAACCAACTGTTGTTTCTACCCCTCTTTAATGTATTATCCCAACTATCATCTTTGCTTTCCAAGTCTTTTGTCTTTGTCTTAAATCCCTCAGAAAAAGATCTTTACAATAGGGAGACTTTTTCTTCCCTGAGCTTACCTGTCTATCCATCTACCACCCTCAAATCAAGGTACCACCCTCAAATCAAGGTACTGTTTCTTCCCATTGGTATGAAAAAAGCTTAGTACATTAGTGGAACTGCTACAAACATCAGAGGAAGAAAGCACAGACGTGTGGGACTTGTGTCTCCTTACCTGGAAGGCCATGGTCTCTTCCCCGTTGAATGTTCAGGGCTCCTAGATCCAGACCCATTATCTCTGTCTGTTCAAAAAGACGGTTCTGAAGCTCCTCAACAAGCAGTTGATTCTGTTTCATCAGTTTTGCACGATCAACCACCATGCCCCGTATCAGTGGGTCAACGCCACCTGCGTTGGTTGCAAATCAGGAAAAGACTTTTTGTCCCAAGTTCCAGCTTTGCCCGTTCGTTCTGTGCAGCTGAAACAGTGCCACATGAGATGTCTGCTCTACTCTGGGCCGTGTGGGGTTCGCCTGTCTCAACATCTAGTGGTGCCTGGGTGCCAGGCAGAACCAATGTTAGGCTGTGTTTGGCGACAATTCTGCAGAACAGAACTGTCCTGCTGCCCCACGTTTAGCAGACCACTCATCTCCCTGCAGCCCCTTGAGTAGACATGACACCAGCACCTTCCACGCTGAATAGTACCGTAATTCGTGTGAGACCAGTTAAATAAATGGAGCTAAAGCAATTTTTTGGAGTCTAGACTCATGTGTCTTACCAACTGACCTCCACCTGAGTGTCTGCTTCAGGACCAGAGCAGGGCTGCTGGCTGCCCCACGTTCTTACCTTCCATTATAATTCTCCACGTAGCGCAAAAAGTCAAATGAAGAGGGACGTGGGAGGATGAACCCAAAGGCTGGTAACGGTCACCCAGACGGGATACAAAAGGCTGTACTGACGTATGACCAAATCGGAAAGCCAGGGAGAAAACATTTGCCACTGTAGGATCCACATTCTCTTTGTAGCCACTATACAAAGGGATCCACTTCCTGGTCTCCTCCGCGAGCAGAAGTGGGAGGTAGTCTCTGTATGTTATTATCTGAAAAAGCACAAAGGCAGAGCAAGTTGTCAGCAGCTGGCTCAGAAATGCCATCAGAGTCAAGTTCAGAGCATGAACGTAGCAGAGTTCATTAAGATCCTCAGAAAAAAGAGCAATAATGTGAGCTTGGCATAATATATTAAAATTATTTGATGTAATAAGCAATTGATAAACTGGTAAAATAATGGATAAAAGCTCTCTGGATACCCATGCTGCCTCAGATAGACCATCTTCATTCATAATTATTTCCGACTCCCACAAATAACTCCACTAGATACACAAAGCAAGGTTTTTCTCCTTTTCCTGGAGGAAAAGGCCATTCCTAAGCATGCAGATGACAAACAGCGAGCAGAGATCAGTA